TATTGGCAGCTCCGGCTTGGTCTCGTCCTTGTCTTAGTCCTTCATCTCGTCCTCGGCTGCTTTCAGAATCCTGCGGTGCAGTTTGGCTCGGCAGTGGAGATCTCCTTGGCGTTTGCTGCTCTGTGAATCGGGACAATACGTGCCAGCTAGCTGCGATATTTGATAGCCTATTCCCAGCTCCCCATGGGTGTGGCCTTCCCATCTCCCTACCGGGTTCCTAATCAGATAAGCCTCTCTGATGTGCTCCAGTGAGAATCTAAGACCATTGCAGTTTTTCTCACCTGCCTAGTGGAGTTGATGGTGGTGCTGCAAGTCTGGATGTGCGTGTGACTCTGACACCCTGGGAGAGTGAACCCTGTAACAGAGTGACTGTGTCTATAAACATGTTGCGTAGTCTCTCTTTCTGTGTGGGCTGGGTCTGCATTATTTGGCCTCTGTGTCCGTAACCCTTCGTATGCAGAGATTCACAAGTGAAAGGATGGCTCACTTGTATGGTGCTGCGCTCCCCAAATTCTTTGCCCCGTTTCGAAAACTTTTCAGGAGAAATGCCAAGAGTGAAACATTTCCAGGGTTTCCCAGTGCGTTGCCGTGCTGGAGCTCCTACGTGGACTGCTCATTGAGGAGTCCCTTTAAGGACGGAAAGGTCTGATAAATCAGGATGTTTGCGCCAAAACCATAGCAAATCATCCGGTGAAATTGTGGCTGTTTGTTGTCGAGCCGATTATCATTTTGGAGCAGAGAAGTTAGCTCTTGAGCTTTATGGATGTGACGAGAGGAGCACTTGAATTTAATGAAAAGGAGTCTGTGAGTTGGTGAAAGTCATGGATCAGCCACTACAGCTCTTCAGGTTGGCTGCTGTCTCATTCGTGTCTCAAGGCCTTTCAGCTACTGTGATCAAGTGCTTGATGATTCTGATACTAGAGCTTGGTTTCTTCTCTCTCGGAGTAGGTTTACAAGAATAACAGTCGAAGTACAGGCTGTGAGTATCTTGCTGGTGAAATTGCACAAGTATTGTGCACGTTAACATTTTGCACTTCTCAATGCCTGGGCAAATAGCCAGCCTGTGACAGGAAAGCTCTGTGAATCATTTGATTATGAGCAGTTATGCAGTTGTGTGGGATTTTTAGGGCCCTTTCTTTGCACTTCCACTTTTAAGTAAAAAATGTCATTTTTTTACTTGCTTGTGTGTATTTAGTAAATTATATGCATATGTCAGGCATGGTGTTGTTATCCTAATGCGTAACATGTAATGCTTTTAAAATTGACTTTAAAAATCCCTTCAGATCTAAAAATCTTAGTTTTTTCCTGTAAAAGAAAGCAAAGAGGAACATTTCTTGGCTAAAAGCAATGGGATAATGACAGTGTGTCACACATAGCAATATATATCAGCGAGAAATCTGTAATTAAACCGGAGAGCCCCCTTAATATCTGTTTCTGTGTAATTAAATACAAAATAACTGTTAGAGCTTAAACAGAAGCATTGTGCAACTCCAAACACAGCCTGCCTTAGAGTTTGTATGTGATGTGAGGTGATTAGCTTTAATCCACAATCACAGTTTTGAGCAGTGAAAAAGGAAAATCTGTTTGTTTTGACTGGAGTTTGTTTTATGGAGAGAAGAGGTTTTAAGCACAAACATCCTCTCTTGTTACCAAAGTTGGGCTTCATTGCAGGCGACTGATTTCACAACTTCCAGAGCCACGCTCTGAGCAATCTGCCTTCGTTTGTGATTTTCTGTTCTGGGCTTTGTTTACAGAGGATACAGCCAATCCTGTGTTTTGTGACCCTCCTGGTGGGTGAGGGGGTGTTGTTCTGTAGACACTGCCTGACCGAATGAGATTCCCCAATCCTCAAAACCTCATCCTGCAGGAGTCCCTCAGAAAAACTGTTGTCGCCGGAACTTTGCGGTAAATAAGATTTCTCTGAGCTGCCTGTGAACCCTCATTTATTTCTTTTGTGTGTTAGCTCTGGAAGTGAGGGGTCTTGGTTTTGAGGTTTTGTGGAAAAGGGCCATTTGTGGTTTTTCCTCTGGGTTTAGAGTGTCGTCCTATAATTCCAGTGCGAAGCCCAGAGAGCTTTCTCTGTGATGTTGCCACCCGTGGTGGATCAGCTTGGGTGCCTGTTCCGGAGAAGTGTGGCAACACAACCGGTTTCCCGACAGGCCTTGCAAGGATTTGCACTTTTGCACACAAAAGGGAAATGTGAGTGATTCAGAGCAGTGTGGCTTCACTCCAAAGGCTCATTAGCTGAGCCACAGTCTCTTTCTCCCCCCCCCAACATGGGGCTGATCAGCCACCCTCCGCAGAATGCACGCCCCCCCTGGACTCTTAAACACAACCACGATTGTTTTGATCGTTTCCCCTGACATGCCGGTCCCTGGATCACTGGCCCTCTGGGCCACAGACGCTCGCCTCTGCCCTGCTCGTGCCAGA